AATTATAATACTGCAAGTACTAGTGCAGACTCTAAATTTTTTTTCAGTGACTTTTCATGGGAAATCTTTTCCTTGAAGAAAAAGTTTTGCTGAAGCTTTTATTCCATCTTTCTGATGGAAAACTGAAATTCTGCTGTGTTGTTCCAAACCTAAACTGAACTGAACTCCCTGGTTTGAAGTCACACATCTGGGACATCAGGGATCTGTACCTCTCTTTGCTTGTTGGATCATGTTAACCAAGTGGGATCTTCATAGAATCAGAGAATCATAGAATGGTTTGGGCTGGAAAGGACCTTAAAGATCATTGAGTTCCAACCCCCCTGCCACGGGCTGGGACACCTCCCACTAGATAAGGAAGGTGCAATTCATGAAGTGCAATTCATGAGGTGCAATTCCACAGGAGAGACGATCTGACTACAAAACCTGAGCTATTAGAAAATCCGAGCAAGCAAAGCCCACAGCCCAACTCTAATAAAGCGGACAAAGACCACAGGAAGATGCAGTTATCATACTCACCCAAAACAAAATGTGTAGAATTAGGTCAAACTAAAATACAGTGTTTAAGTGGTGGAAGGTCAAAACATTCTGTTTCAATCAAAGAAGTGTCAGGTGAACAAGTTTCAACACTTACAAGTCAAAATTAGTTTCATCTTCTTCTTTTGTGTAAAGCCTGATGATTCAACTTTTCATTTCAGTTCAGGAAAAAATCGACTGGTAAGTCACCAGAACTACAATTTCTGTTGCAATTCTGACTTTCACATCGTGAAATTGTGAAAGCAAGCACATCCTCATTTTGTACATGAAAAGATACAGCTATGGGGTGGGTTCTTCAAAACCTGAGGGTCAGGATTGGCCATCCATAGCCTTCTTAAATATGTGAAAATATCTCTGTCAAAGAGGTGAACTAACAACCTCATAAGACAGGAATATTTTATTTCTAAGATCTCCTAGTATGTAACTCTCCCTGTACATTTAAAAAATTGTGATACTGAAGCTCATCACTGGCAATTTAGATATATTCTTGCCATATTTCTGCCTTCCATAACTGGCAATGACAAGCATGTGTTCCTTTTGCATGTCAGATCTCAATTTCAATAAAGTTCACCCTTTACATGTCTAAAACACCAGCAAGACACAGTGGGGGCTCCACACTGAGGGGAAAGAGGAATATTTGATCCAAGATCCATTGTGCAGATCCAAGAAGAAAATTATGAGTAGAATTATAAGCTTCACCTCACCCCCACCAAAAGTAACTTTGTGGCTGGATACATCTCAGTGCTCTGAGCAGAAGTAATAACAACATTTCAGGTATAGACTCAGAAAGCTGGAACAGTTAACGTGCAATTGTATTTTCCCAATGGAGTACAGAATGGCTGTATTACCCAAAGATTAAACCATAAGGGGAGCATACATTTTCTGACATCTAAACTAAAATTATTTAAGCACTTGTTAAACAATTGCCTCTCTTCATGCTAAAATTATTTGAATACATATCTAATTAAATGTAATGACAGCATACTTGCTTAACATATGAAGAACCATCATAAATTGACGTTATAATGATCTCACTATTAAACACAGGAAGGGTTAGCTTTTATACATATTTGAAAGATGGTTCCTTTTAAATAATCCCAGCAGAAGCTGTATTCTTTTTAACGAGCATATTATAGTAACAGCATATTTGTTTTTATGGCTTTTGCTATTTCACACTCACGTAGCTCACTGGATTCAACTCAAAATACTACTTCCACTGCAGTGCTTTTCTTTCAAATACCACAGAGTCCATCGTTTCTCCTCTGTGCAGGAATCCACAAAACTGAGGCTTCAGTTTCTCCAGATTTTCGGTCCAGGCCTAGCACTAGCATTTAGTTCACAATTGCAATTTGTCTCTCTTGTCCTTCTTAGGTGGAATTTAAAACACTGTTTGGTAAATAACCAGCATTTATGGCAGTAATTTTTCTTTTAAATAAAAATCTGCAAGTATGACCTGAAAAATGTTGCCAGAAATATAAAAATTTACTAATACAAAATTTTGAAAAAGTAAAAAGTTTTGTGAAGAATTCTGTCTGTTTATGTGTTGAACTCAGGTCCTTTTAAAAAAAAAAATAAAACAAACAAACAAACAAACAAAAAAACCCCAAGCTCCAGACACTTGCTCCTTGCTCCCCAGAGGAGCAGCTCTCTCAGGTAATTCCTTAATTTCTTTGCAGAAGTCATTCTGGCAGGAGAAGGCCCATCACTAGACAGGCAGTTACAGGCCTCCATCCCCAGCAGAGCCCCACTGATGGCAGGGAGTGGGTGGCCTGTGCCTCCAGACCTTCCACAGCCCTGAGGGGACTGAACCCACATGGCTCGCTGCTATCGCCGGAGAGGGCTCTAACCACTGGACCTGGGGCGTCCTGGGTGGCCGAGACCCTCCATCCTGCTTCTGGGAAGCTCCTCCACAGCCAGGTGTCCAGGCATCCTAGCTGCAAGACACTGGATGCGAGGAAGTTTGCTTTAGTCATCCCAGCAGAATGACCAAGCCAGGAACAAAAGACAGCAACTGGCCTCAGTCTTTTCCGTTCATTCAGGTATGCTCAGGAACTGCATATGGGATTCCTGGCTACTGGTAATTCTGGTGATTTCTGGTTTATTTGTTTTAAATTTTCAATTTAATGTGTTAAATCCCAGTCTGTCAAGACTAACATTTATGTAGAGCCATATCGGAGTTCCTGCCTCAGTTTTGTGCTTTGAAGATAAATAAAAGTATGGAGAAAAGTGCCTAGAGTGCTTATTTTCTTTTTAAAAACATCATGGTATCTTTGTTACTCTTTGCCTTAAATTTCATCATCTGCTTGAAAGCCATGAGTGCTTGTAGAAATGCGCAATATGTCTTTTCATGAAGCAAAACAAAGATTTTTACAAAACCATTTCATTTTGTAATTACACGTTCTATTTATGTCATTACATGTATTTACCCTAATTATGCTGTTAGTTCTAATTACACTAATTGCATAAATACATGATAATCAACTGAAGTTTACTTTCAAAGAACAAAAGAAATTAACTCTAGACCTACATATTTATGGTCCTGAAACAAATCTATGAAAAGAAAAGCACTGTCATACTTAAAGCTATAGTTTCAGCATCCTACCCAGAAAATTGTGCTTGGGTACCTCCAATATACACAGCAGGAACAATGTTCTTGGTTACAAAAAAAAGGTAGTCAGGATATTGTAATCAGTAATTCAATGAAAAGCTCATCAAATTTATGAACGCTATACCAAAAAGCATCCCCAGTCCCATAGACTCTTCCTGCATCTCTCTAGAAGATTTTTGCTCAATATTGTTTCTGGGGGGTAAATTACAGGCAAAGAAAAATGGATGGTTTCTCTAGCATTCTGTTTCTAAGCAGGATCTCCTAGCCTTTCTGCCCAAAAGGTGGTACACAACAAATAATCTTTTGGAAATACCTCCGTAAACAAAACAGGACTCTACAGTCCCACCATTCAGTGGCAATGAAGATTCATACGAGGGTTGGATTTCAAACTTGGGAGGTTTCGTGAGTGTAGTTTTGCAGCGCTTCTGCATAAAGTTGTGATATTCTAGCTAATAGACAGAATTTATCCTTAACACTCTTTTAACTACACAAATCTTTTAAAATAGTAAAACAAAAGACCACTCACATGCCCCAAGTAACATTATAAATTTATATTGTAATAATCCTCTGAAACCTACAGCTCCAAGGATGCTTCCTTGCTATACATTTATTAGACTAGTAAGGTTAAGATTTCACATGAGCCGAGCATTTCTTCAATAAAAGGAGATTCAGTCTGCATAGCTTCCCAATTGCCTCAAAAGTACACACAATCTAATGTGAATACATCTAGTGAGAACCCAAAATGCCTCTTAAAGAGAGACTCCATTTCTGGACTTCTGATTAATATTTTTAGTCTACATCACAAATATAATTCATGAAAGAGATTTAATCTTATGCTTTCTACTCTTACTCAATTTTAAGGATTTTAATGTATTTCAGACATGTACACAGCAAATGCAAGAAACTGTATTGTTAAATACAATCTAAAATTGCAAGATTCATTACAAAGAAGATGTAAAAGCTCAGCTTACAAAAAAAATGTTAATTCAACCTCATAGGCAGCCTGTAAACCTGATGTTATATAATTGATAACATAAAACATCTTAAGCTTGTATACTCCTTTCACAAGAAATACAGCTATACCTGTGCAAGGTGCCCAGATTATTATGAGACCTACAATTCTTACATTCAGTGACACTGGAAGGTTTGCAAATCACATTTGTCAGAGGGCCTCACTGGTGGGGAAATCACCCTGATTTCAGTGACTGGGTAGAGAGATGAACAACTGGCAGAACCATGAGCACAAATGCAGTAATTACATACACACATAGAAAAATTTTTAGAAATGGCCCCCATAACTTAACCATACTGTAGCTCATTTATTAAAATAAAAAAATTAAAAATCACCTCTGGATTTTCCTCCTTTTTCTTTTTGGTAGCAGGGGGTCCCTGAGCTGACTCTTCAGGAGGTTTCTTTGTCTCCACTTTACTTTCTGTCTGGGTTTGGACTTGAGGCTGAATAATGATAACCTAAAAGACAATGTACAAACAAAATAAGAGAATTCACTATATGAAACTGCATCTTTCTGCCTGAAATCTCTGATTCTTCTTTGAATGGTTACCTGATACCTCACAAACAACAGATGCAAGTTGCAAGCCAAAAATATAAATAACTGGATACCTAGGTTAGGCTTCTGAACACATACTTAAGTTTCTAAAAATTAATTTTTAGAAGTACATTATAAGCCTACTGCAGTCCAAGGGAGACACTTCAGTGCCTCTGAAAATTAGGACGCTTTCTATTTAGAGGACTTCTGAAGCTGACTCAGCAGCCTAGCTTTAGCACTCATATTGTCAGCGATTTTAAGGTTTTTACTTTAATTTTATTTTGCATACAGGTAGAATTCACATTCAAAGTCACAGTCTGATCTCAGTCATACCAGTGTTATTTCAGAGTAAGTACATGGAGATGGGAAGGAAAATACTCCTCAGTACTACTCTGAGATCACACGTCAGTCCTCAGTGTTTATGGGTTCTGAGCAGTGGATGTCCAGTATTGCACCAACAAAATAAACTATATATGTTTTAAATTAAAATTAATTCTAGTTTATAATCTACAAAAATTACTACACAGTTCTCTTATACATGCATGTATGTTAGTATATACAGCTGCTTGTATTTGAATTACCACATGAAGATTCACATGGTACAGATAACATTACCTCAGAAACTATTAAATTAAAAGGAATGAAGGACAACTTCTGACCTCGTAACTACACGTGTGACTTTATACCCACAATCAAAGTTTCTTGGAAGACTATGAAAGACTTTCCCAAGCTCACCTTCTTGATGAAGGTTATTGGATTTGAAGGCTGGGCCTTTTCCATCTATTTCATTGCTAACTTTCAATCAATGTTATTTAATTGTTAGATACTTTATCTCAACTCAGTCACTCTAGAAGATTCAAGAGCATAAAAAGGGACAATTTTCTCAACCAGCAGCCAGTTTAAGTATGAGAAAAATAAACTACGTTAGAGAAGTGGGGAAGAGATGCCTGCTTTTATTTACCTCAAAAGCCTTCCTACATAGTGTATTTTATTTTTTTTTTTTTTTAGCACTGTGCTGCCAACAAGACCCAAAGTAGCAGGATCCCAGTAGTAAATTACAATATATGTCTGCTGGGTACATTGGCAGCCTTTATTGAATCTGTTTCTGGTATAAGGGTGGAGAAAGTCTTGCATTTCAAAGCTGAAAGCAGTACAAAGAGGAAACAAAGGATTCATAACTTGATTTTTTTCCTACTGATTCATCTGCTGATCAGTTTTGAAACCCTGAGCTCTCATTTCATTTGGTCTTCCTCTGAAAGTATAGAAGGGAATGCCTGACTATTTGATACACTCCCCTGGGGTCAGTCGATATAACTAATACCGCTGTAAAATTGAAGAGGGAGTCCATAGGAAATTTGAGCCTGCACAGAATTCAGGGATATTATTAGTGAGGAATGATTTAAGGAAATGGAAGATCATATGGTCCCATTAATGTCAGGCTACATCATGCTGCATTTTGTTCCTTCTAAAGATTATACATGTACACAGACAAATGTCTACTGGCATCCACGTGTCCTCTTAAGAATTTCCCCATTGCTTTCTGATTATTTTCTTCAAAAGGGCTATGTGCTCCCAGGGGAATATCCTGCTTACACATGCAAGGTAATTCCTGTGGTTGATAAGCAAAAAAGAAAATGCTGGGAAAAGCAGGACCCACCTTGTTGTCAGCACTAATGAGGAGTGGTTGCACTTTAATGCTATCGTTGACTACAGAGACAGTCGCGCTGGTGCTGATAGGAGTTGCATTGTTGGGGGAGGTGGAAATAATGGCGTACGCCACACCTGCACTGCTCAGAGGTGATGAAATAGCTGTAGACTCGGTGACAGTTTGTGACTGGCTGTTAGGCGTCTGTACGTGGCTGACAGTGTTATTGGCAGTCGGGAGGGCAGGGCTGGGGTTTTTGATGCTGACTACTGTTGCCTTCTGGAAGGTAGGAGGCTGCTTGGAAGGTTGATCTCTGCACGGGGAGATAGGGAGGCTGTCTGGAATCAGAGTCTTTGGCCTAACCTACAAACAGAGAGCTAGATGTTAGGCACAGCCTCAAACCGTAATGAATAAAAACTGCATACATGCGCTCTCCCAGTAGAATCTCTAATTGCATTAACCGTGGACCGGGAGCATCTAGGAAAACGTGATGTGGCAACTCGAAGTAGCCAGCCATTCATTTACTTGTAGATATATTCCCAGTAGTCCTCAGTTGAGTCATTTTGGAGTCTCTAACTCATTGCAATGCTGAACAAGGGAGGAAAAAGTCAATTCCTGACTTTTATTAGCACACATCCATACAAATGCTACTCAAGTCACATCCAGTTCTCAGTATGAATGTTTAAGCCAAAGCCTTTGCAAAGAATGGAAACCCCAGATACAATAATTTCATGTTCTGAGGGACACAACAGTCTTGCTATGAATTAAGGAGTGGGAACTGAATCATGAAGGGAGTTGTCGGAAAGCATTTACAGGAACAGTAAGCATATGCATTTATACTGGTGGATCTGTGAATGAAGATCCTCACATCTTTACGATGTGAGGAAATCAATGGAGAGGAAATCAACTATACAATCACTTGGCCCACCAAAAAAAAAAAAAAAAAAAAAGAGAGAGGAAGAGAAGGGGAAAAAAAAGAAACACACAACCATCTAACTTCATATTTTGTTGCTGTAAGTAAAGAGCTAGTTTGCAGCTGCAGCTGTGGGTGGATGCAGAAGGAACTTCCATGGATGGAGGGAGAAACTGCCAAGATTTGCAAAGGCTGCGGCTTTACCCAGAGCCATGAAATGATAGCTGCAAACAATTGTTTTCGGCTAACGTGATGTGTTTCCAGTGGGTTAATTAACGTCACCCTGTCAACATGGCTGTGCCTTAACAACACGTTAAGTACAGTTCCAGGATTGAAAATAAATAATTTAAACTGCTTCACATGAAGTTAACTTCACTCCCAGCTTATTCGTTAACACGGCCACATAAAACAGTTGGTTCCCTCTGTGCTTATTTCGTCCTGTCACTTCTCGCACCTTCCACACTGTGAAACAAAATGACAAGTTGTAACAGACAGACACGGGAAACAGCTGCCTGTGTCACTGCGCTGTAGTCCACAGGAGCCCTACCAATGATGCCGGCTTCAATCTTGAGCCTAAGTAAGCAATTTAATGAAAACGCAGGGATTTACTGATGTGCAGAAAACCATCTCTCAGGGTCCCCATAGCGAATATTAAGCACAGCAACACACATATTACAAGCTCTTCGTGTTTTGGTAACTCGGCCCTCAGTTGCTGATGGGATCCTAACACCTAGGAGCAGTGCAGACGTGTATTAGAGGCACAGTCCTGCTCCCGAGTGTCTAAATTGTCAGCAATCAAGGTAAATGGAAAGTGAAAGAGGAAACAGAACCAAAGAAGAGCAAAGAGGAGGGTTTGCCCAAGGTTCTGCAGTAGACTCATGACAAAGCCAGGAAGCTGCTGTGTTCTGCTCACAATTTCAAGGTAACACTGGAAGGCCTTGCAGACCCACTGTGAAAAGATGCAAAACCACACTAAACTATGACTAATCATATTTGAGATATAATGACAATAACAGGAGCATTTTTTGCTCTTTTTCCTCTACCCAATCACTTTATGTAATGACTATTTGATTAATTTAGTTAAGATACCAGAAAAATACCCTAGCCAAGATGTTTAGGAGAGGAGTCTATAATTAGCTTCATATCCATAATCAGTTAATGGTCTTATTTTAAAAAGTAGTGCACAAAGGATTTGTTTAAACCCATCTTGGCCTGGGCATTCTGCAAAATTAAGGCTTATAACACAAACAGCAGCTCAGTGCCATAGGAGATATGATACTTAAAGCAACTTGTTCATGTCCGTATCAGTGTCAGTTATACAACCAGATCGTGTACTATATACTTTTATATTTTCACAATAATATTATTTCCCTCTTGTGTTATATCTTATATAAGTCTCTCATATGTAAGTCTTTAACACATTGCTCATCCTCATGTGTTCAGAGACACGTTCACAGAAATAGAATCATTATTCAGAAAAGAAAGTCTCAGAAGCTTGGCAAAATAAAGTTTAAATGAATTAGCATGGCCAAAAAAACACAAATCTAATTCCTATCTGTTTGGCTAACATACAAATTATACTATCTCTCCTTAAAACAAAATAATTTTCTTGTAAATTAATATAACATCTGTTACCGACAGAAATACTGTAAGCACACAAACAGATAAGCACAGATATACAGAGAAAGAGAGAGAGAGTATAAGCAATAGTTCAGATCAAAGATTCAACAGAACAGTCACTGAAATAATTAAAAAAACCAAGACTGACAAAAAATCAGCCCAGGAGTTTTTCTAGACAAAAACTATCATGTAGTCTACCAGGATCTACTGTATCTGTCACTCTTAATTGAACTTTTATATTTAGTTGAAAGCCTAATTAAAACTAAACGCCTATATATATTCCAGCTATATAATTCTCTTTGCTACACTCTTACAAATATATACTGACTATCAGATGTAATACCTCAGTGAATCCTATACACAACCTTAACACACATTCTGCAAGCAGTGGATGAATGCATATTACTTTGTTATAAAATAAGCTCTTCCTGCACAGACAATTAAACAGACTTAATTTTCCAAAATAAAGTATTCTTTATAAAGCATCACATACTGAAATAGCCGATACGATTTACCAAACTGGTACAGCACAAGAGCATACGCTGGGCGTTTCTGCCACCGTGTGATACAAAGGAGGTATAGCGGCCCTCACAGTCTAAGCCTCTGCAAATTCCCTGGCAAGTTCAGCTAACATTGTGAGAGTGTACGTAATTGCAACTACAAAATAATAAAAAGGGTTGACTACAGAAAAAGTTTCTGGTGCTCCTGAGTTAAAGCTAAAAAAAGTTAAAGTTAAAATTATGTTTATTTCTACAGCCTGCAGACACATATCCAAAACAGAAAGCAAGCATAGAAGCCCCTTTCCTTCTGCAGTGCTCTAACACCTATGAACCTTCCCCTCTTGAATACAAACACTAAGTGTAAGCACTTAATAAACAGCTAAATGAAAGATCTTTACCAGAGTTTCATGTTAAAAACCAAACTGCTACAATAATCTTTGAGAATAAATGCTGTCAGTTGTGAAGAAAAAAACGAAGGAAAGAGCTAGCATAAACTCCTTTTCCTCACAGCAAAACTGTACCTTAAATTTGGGAGATGAAAGGAGGACAGTGGCACCAGCAGAAGTTTGGAAGATGACAGTCACCAAAGAAGAACTGGAGAAAAACTAGGGCAGGGCACGGATTGCATCTCACATACAAGGTATCAAAAATGAGTCTACGATTCTATGAAAGTTGAATCAGATTGGATGACACCAGTCTCCATTTATAAGAGCCACAGAAATAAAAGGCCCAAAAGTTTAGCAAAGGAGAAGAAAAGAGAATAAATAGCAGACAGCATGTATGTTACCAAGTGAAAACTGCAACTGTTGGCGAGCGCTGCAAATAACAATTCTGTAGTTCAACCCTCCTCTCCCCAAATATCTTTCATTTAACTTCTGACAGCTGTCAAAACAGAATGTGATACTACCAGGGTTCTAAATGCAGGAGAAGAGAGAGCTGCTTCTTGAATATAATGATTTCACAAACCCGTGTTGTTCTTGAGTTTCCTCAATACCCACAATAACAGAAACATTTGATTTTAGGCAGCAATATTCAGACAACCCTGGTACTTTTCAAATAGCCTGCAGGTGAGCACACTGTTTAAGAAGATATTCCCAGACCTGAGAATTCACTAGGTAGGGGCTGTCTGCTTTTCAGACAGGGAAATAACAGGGAGTCTGATCCTGTGAGATGTGCAGAGTTCTCTTTTGTTCAGCAATCTCTAATTTAATATATTTTAAAGAGTTTCAGATCAGGTCCCGTGACTAATATGACTTCTTGCATATCCCATATCATTAAGCTCCATCCAGATGTCCCTATATGAAGCCCAAAGGCTTTCATTACGTGAAAACATCATTCCAGTTCTCAAGAGCACAAATCATTGAACACTGCAGAAGTGAACAAATTGCTGAGTGGCAGAGGTGGGAGAGCCTGACATGTGTCACCACTGACAAAGGCAACTGTGATCACAGGCAAACTATTTCCTGAGCTATATCCCATCAGGTGAGCTGGTCCCACGCTGTAGTAAAGAAGAAGGAAAAAAAGAAAAACTCTTACAAATCAAGGCCTCAAGATCCAACCCAAACAAATATGGGGGGAGAAGGAGGAGAAGGGAAGGAAAGCACATGATTCCTGCTATCTCTGTGGGCAATCCTGTGTAATCCTGGAGGACAGGATTTAATTAGGACAGTTATCTCCACACAGATCTGCAGGCGCTATGAGAATTGTTAAAGGCAATTCTGGTAAACGTGTTCTCCTTAAGGCCAAGCAAAGAAGGGAAGTTAACAAGTACACTTCAATTACAAAACCAAAAGGGATCATCAAGTAGACTTCAGCTCATAGACTGGCTGTAGAATTTCTCCCAGAAACCGAAGACTGATTTCAAAAGAAAATAGTGAAGACTTCTAAATGATGAATTCATCACAAGCCTCAATAAACTGTTAAAGTATTTTATTATGCTCATGACTGGCATTTTATTGTGAGGTTGCATTTGCCTAACTTCAGCTTCCAGTCTCTGGATCTTGTTAGAGCTTTGTCAGCAACACTGAAGATCCCTCCCCCTCCACAATATCAGATATCAGCTGGATCGTGCTCAGTATCAATCAGCATTTCATACTGGCAGGCCTGATCTGTATGAGAGTAAATTTTTCAGCTCAACGCAATATCACATTGCCTTTGAGAGAAAGACCATTATTCACACTTTATTTTCACTTCACCCTTGTACTCAGAGCTTAAAAACAAAAACTCAAAATGGATTTGGCACAATTCATATGTCACAGAGGCAAAGTGCTGGGAGCAGCAGACAGAGCTTTCATTCTTGAAAAGCTTTAGAGGATCACACAGAAAACATTAGCAATAGCTGATAAAATGAGTGCAATATAGGGTAATTATATCCTTCACCAGAATGAACAGATGCACACTGATTTCAGTAAAGCTGTGTCTATTTATGCCAGCTGAGGACCGACTCTCTCCCTCTTCTTTTTTAAATCAATAACAATTATGCAAAAGAAAAGGTTCTGCATAACTTTACAGCAATGACACACCTGAAAATCCAGGTTGCCCAACTGACCTGAACACCAGTGTTTCCAGCTTCCTTGATTTTTGGGTTCTCTCCTGATAAGGTCCTATCATCATCAGCTTGGTCTGAGACCACAGTCAAAATAAAAAGAGTTTATTTTCCTCCCACACCAGGAAGATTTAAAAACACACATGGCTATGGATCCACATACACTTTTCTTCCTTCCCTTTGACGGGGTTACACAAAAAGGAAGTTAGTCTTCAGTGTGTATCATGAAGAAACCCCAGGGAAGATGACCTGGTCCAGTGAATCCTGTGTCTGCATATAACGTATGCCTCCTCTTAGCATCTACCTGGAATATTAGCCCGGGAAGCCACAGAAGAATGCTATGAAATGCAGGGCAAAACCCAAGCGACTTCTCCAGCCCATATTTCCAATCCTTGCTGCTCTGGACCAGGGATGAATTCTTAATCTCATTGAAACCATCAGCAAATTTCAGTAGACTTCAGTAAAGCCAGAACTGCAGGTAGCACCTCAAAACAAACCCTACTCTCTGATTTTACATGCCATGAAAGCCAAGAGTCACTCTTTGGTATTTTTTCACACATATTCAAATTATATGCACTATATCAAACATTTTCCACTAGACTGTATACTTACTGTGCTTTGGTATTTCAATTTGTTTGTCATGGATAGTCAGCTTTAGTATAAAGGTGACACACAGATAATACAACCCCTGCGCAATTTTTAAGAAGACAAAGCTATTTCATTTAGTTTTTCTTCCCCTTCAGATTTGCTTGATACTACAGAACTGGAAGTTTTGCTGAGAGGGATGTTTGTGTGGGAATCCGTCAGCTCTGCTTTTTCTGGATGTTGGCATAAGGCAGTCAGGTGGGAGTTCTTTATTAAAAATGTTATCAGTGTTTTGAACACAAAACTGTATTTTCACAGGAACTTGACCGACTTTTGCTAATGAAAGGTACATTTTCTCCTCAGCTATACAGTCTGTATTTTCTGGTTTGGCATTGCTGCTATTGACTTGATGATTCATTAATGGTGGCTCTTTTCCATTTGCAAAGGGGAAAACTACCATTAAACCAGCAAATTAAAATCAATATTATTTCAAAAAATAACAGGTAGGAGTTGAAGTTGACAAGGATTTCTGCTTTTTTTCCTTCTGCACAATTATTCTGTCCTTGAATATGCAGTTATCTATGTGCCTCTGAGGATAGAATTTAATCCTTATTGTTTAGGATTAACATAGAAATATAAAAGCTAGAAAGTGATTATACACACCAGTCAATAACTTCCTTCTATTTCTACTCTTTTCAGCAGTACAAGTCAGCTTGCTTCTCTCGCAGATACTCATCTATGATTAACTTACTTCAATTTAAATATAAAGTGTCCATTAAGCCTTTAGGCACAAACTAGTGAACAACTGTCTGCTTTCCTCCTACCTGTATACTTTCATAGGTGAGCTCCGGACTAATCCACACAGCTGGGCATTCACTGGACCCAAACTCTGGTGTCACTGTGAAGACCATGGATGTCTGTGCTTTGCACTGTCCATCACTTTAAGAGCTTTTCCTGCTTCTAGATAGTAATAATGGTACATTACAACAATTTGACCAGCCTCAACTCATTTACTAGCCAAAAATAAAAAAAGCTTGAAAAACAAAACAATAATAAAAATAATGACAAAAATAAATTCTGTCTGCTGACAGCCTGAGCTAGATGAGACACAGAAAAAGCTCAGACAACCGGGGATGAAAATGAAGGTTTTAGGGACAGGAAGCAGTGCAATTCATTCCTCCAAGCCTCTGCTGAGGTAGTGCAGGCAGAGAAAGCTTTCCTATCCGTCTGTCTTTCGCCAGAGGCCTACCACAAGCTTGTACAACTGGCACGGAGGCTCAGAGGCACAGCACAGTCTAGATTCAAGCCAGATATGGATCTGAAGACAGATGCAAATGGTGTCAGTGGAGAGAGGGATCATTTCTTCTCATCTTCCTGATACTCTGCAAAGAGGTATTCAGCATGGAGAAACATAAGAGTTTTCACCTGGGGAATAGGTACCATGTCAGGTGTTAAAATGTCTTGAATCTTTCTTTGGGGTCGTGTGGATACTTTAGGTTCCTACTTGCAGACTATCATGGAAATTAGCCTTTCCAGGTCCTTTTCAAAATGTTCACAACACTGATTAGATCTGAAGGTATCAGTAACAGCCAGTTTTGCTTCTCCTTCCCCACCACCCTGGGTCAGTTCTCTAATTAAGAGCAGACAACTGACACTGATACTCAGAAAGGCAGAGGTAACAGAGGGAGGTATTTTGGAAAATTTGCATCTGCGTGTAGTCTCCCTTGATACACAACACATGCTCATCTTCGTCCATACTGCTGAAGAACAGATTTCTTGTCACTGCCAACCTCCAGCATACCACCATCCACAAGGAACAGTAGGAACAGTTTTTATCACTCCACCTTAGTCACACCTTCATCTGTCTTGGCTGCACTACAGCTGTGTAAAATACACACCATGGAGCACTCCAGATGCTCCAACAAGCCCATGCCTCTCCCATCAACACAGGCTACCTATCAAACCTATCCACCAGTGCGTAACTGAGATTCCCACAGACTTTTCAATGAAGTACCATGTTTTCATCCCAATCTTCAAAGCTTTCCCTGTAAAGACTTAATATAAAAGGACAAGGTGGACACGTGCCTCTGGTGCAGGGCATCTCTACAAGGCTGATGCTCATATAAGCAGGTGGCTCAACCTCCTTCTCTATGAATTAAGAGCACAAACCTCATCACTTTCTACAATAAACATTTTCTGTGGTACACTCCCCTGACAGAAATATATAGTGGCATGCAATTAATAGTAGCATCCCCATTAAAAATAAGCAAACTGATAAAAAAGAACCCTAACCAGCACTCTCAGCTGCACGCACTTCTTCCCAAAGGGAAAGGATGAGAGAAGAAATAGCTTACAACAGATGTTAATCTTTATGCTTAACACATTACCAGAAGGTGCTTCAAATACAGTACAGTGACAAGCACAGTATAAAAGCTTATATAGAACAAAAAAAGATTAACAACTATATTTATTAAAGGCTGCATTTTCAGCCAGACCTCTGCAAGCCTTTCTTTTGAAAAAGCAATTTTGTTTCTGTTTTCTGCACGCATACAGTCAATGAATATTAAATACTGTTGCAAAACCCTTAGCTTGGTTATATACCACGCTGATTAAGTTACCTTGAATTAGATTATCTCTCTTCTCCTCCACTAGCATTCCAACACATCCACCTGGAAGCGCTGAGGGTTATATACCAGAAAGGTGCATGACATCCCTTAGGGGACTGTAGTCCTTTTCTCCTCTGATATTGTAATAATGACTCTAGCCAATTCAATTATTCCATACTCAAACAAACAATAAAGTGCTCTTGTCTCTCCACTGCACAATTCCATGTAACTTTTTATACAAGCATTAATATCTGCTAGCTTCTTTTCCAGTTTCACAAAAGGCTGACTTGCATTTAGTAATATTTTTCCATTTTCTAATAGCTGTGTGCAGTCTCAATACCTTACACTTAAAAATAATGATTTTTTTTTTTTTTTACTTGCATGATGCAAACAGAGAGAGGCTTTGCCACAGACCAATCTGTTAACACATTTCTTCTACAGTACACAGTGGCATCACACAAGGTGGGTGCTATCTACAGGAGTCATGTTCCTTTCAAGAAATCTCCCAGATGCCCTATCACCAGGGAAGCCAGGAGTAGTGGTTGGTTTTGGTACACACACGAAGAGAAGCAGCAGCTATCAGTAGACATGAGCTCATGAGAACTACGATAAGAAATTTTTTAAATGACATGTGTTTGAGTTTTGGGAACATCTAGAGACCACAGTCTCTGGCAGGGCTCACATGGTACCCAGTGATGAACAAACACATGGTAACAAAACAGTCCCTGTCCCAAAGCAGCCTGCAGCTCAGTGACTGAATTCAGACCCTAACGAATTATGCAGATTAAAATCATTCCAGAGAATAAAAAATAAGCAGCACTTGACAGCAGAACTGGCTAGAGTCGACTGAAAAACCCACGTTTCATCTAAAGCGGACGTGCGTACCTGCTTCTTTTCTCCACTAAACTGCATGATAGTTCCACCGCAGGCGTCTGCTACACGACTCTCTGCTCCACTCTAATCAAGAGCATCATGAGCAAAGCATCCCAAGCCCTGCCTTCAACCAGGACTGGAAAAATAGGTCAGGGAAATAGCATTATAATCTCATTTAACTGCTATTCAAATCATCACAGTTTCTCCATTAATTTGAATGAGAATTGTATCAGGCCCAAGTTACTGACAACAAAATGTGAGATTTATTTTAATATCTTCACCATTTCATTTAGAATCTTTCATTCGAAGAACAGAAAATAAGATTTCCCACATGCCTTCAGGTGGCTACAGTGCAACTTAAATTTTTATGTAAACCAGTTCAAAATAGACAGGCTGTCCGCACTGTACCTGGAAACTGGAACCCCAACCTGACACAAGACCAGCCCCTCCTTACAGTTGATGGGTGCCATAAAGCAGAGGAACACGAGTAAGAGAGTGCATCATCCATGTGTCTGAGGATCTCCAGGATTTGCTTCTGAGAGTGAAGAGTCTGCAGTTTTAAAACATCCCACCCAGCTACCCAGAAACCTCAAATGCCAAAGTAAGAAGAGAAAGACTATCTGGAATTAAATTCCCAAATATCACAGCTCATAGCAGAAATTTTATTTATTTGATGAAAGCAAAAATAACTTTATAGTCTTGAGAAAAAAAATTTTTAAAAAGAAAAAAGGTCTGCCAAAGAGGCTTGTTTTGGCAAATAATGAATGCCTAAAGAAATATTGTTTGCATTGTACAATGAACTTGTAATTAATGTTTGTTTGCTCTCCATTTAATAGCAGTTCTGCACTAAGTGATGGGATTTTGCTGCCATTTGTAAATGTGCAGATTTTGAAACTTCATTCCCCATATGGAAGAGCTCCCAGGGGGTCACATCATAAACCCATTCGAATGAACAAAACAAATGACAAGTATCTGTACAAATGTGGAAAATGAGAAAGTTCTATGTATTATTTTACATGAGTATTGTTAAGTGCCTCAGTTTACTTGTGTGGCATTTTCCTGCTTGACTGCACAGAGGTAAATCAAAAGAGTCTGTCTAGAAGAGGAGAAATTAAAGCATCAAAAATATAAAACTCTTTCAGATGTGACGAGGGGCCCTTAAACAGAGGAGTCCTCTGTTTCTTTCCTGCCAGCATGGCAATCTTTATTCCTCTCATGCCTACATTTAAGTCTAAAGGGAGTCTGAAGTCCCAAAGAGATGATGAGACTGGCCTCAAGGAGAAATGTCCCGTAGCGATTGGTGTGCTTTCAAGAATGCAGACAATGACCTGGATTAATCCCACTCATCTACATGCACCTGAAACAGAAGTACAGTCTGTCCGGCTAAGAGAGAAGCCACTTCCAGAGAGCAACTCAGAGACAAGTAGAATCATAGAATGACCCGGGTTGGA